CAGTCCGTAGGGTATTGTTCAATCCAAAAAGTTCGAACCACGGCGAGCAAGCTTGCCGCGAAGAATTTCTACTATAATAACGCAGGAATCTAACTTGGTACCATAAAACCCCGAGTTTTTGGTTAAAATTTTTACGGGTCCTTACAGAAGGCCACTATGAGTATTAATACAGGACATACCAGAAACAAAACATTTATGAGGGCCGACAAGGCCACTAATATACTATACATACTAAACTTGTGTCTACAAAGCCTCCAAGAGTATCTGACATAAAAATATCATCGGGACATGGCCCCTGCCTACCCGTAAGCCTATAACAAAATCTAATATCATGACCTCTAGACTCGGCTATACTTAGGAAGAGATGGAGTCTTACCGATTTCCCGTTAAATATCAATCATGTCTACTTTGAGGGCTCGTCAAACTGATTACTTGCACATGCAAGCATGAAGTGCAGCGCCCCAGCAATGGGGTGTTAGTACAATGCGATGTACCAAATAGGTAAGGCAGAAAGAAATATAAATAAATATATTCCGAAAACTGAAAAGCATCTGTTATGACATACTAGTAAAAGGCTTTCGAGATTCGTATAATCTTAACTTTACAAATTCATTTGGTACATCGTAGGGCTCGTATTTCATATTATTTCAAGCGACTCATTGCATTCGTTAACTCAATCTCTACTTCCTTTAATGTATGAAATATCATTATATTTCCGCATGCGCACGATTATTCTAGTTAGGTAGTACAATGCGTTTCATAACTTATGTGACCTTACGTTCTTCTACATACGATCTATTCTTCATTCGTTAGTTTGCTCATTCACAACCTTTAAATTTACGAGGAGGTTCTTGTTAAGCAACTTATCACATCTCTTAATTTACATATCTCTCTTATTATCATTAGGGATCTTCCGTATATACCTTCACTAACCAATGAAAACTACTTCGGCCATTTCATAAGATCATAGGTTCTATACGTGATTTCTACTCATGAGCCATTTATAATTTACTATTAAGCGAAGGCTATATTTCTCGCCTTAGACTTAATATAAGTTCCCTGAGGTCTCTACTTATTTCTAGGAATTATCCATGGATTACAACTATGAGTAACTCATTTTTTGTCTATATTCACTTTTAAACTATTAGAATCTCTTAATCCGTCAACATAGAACATACGCTAGGACTCGTCCCCTTGAACCTCTTATAAGGGTGACATCACTACAGAATCATGCTGGAAGAAGAAATGGAAAGCCTTAAATACCTTTAAGTCGTTCATTCGACGAAGATGGTGGGAAAGTATCCTCTTCAATATAATAGACACCAACGAAAATAACACTACTATCAACAATATCAACACATCAACTAGCAACCACGCGACAAGCTTGTTCTACGGCACATCGTACAGCATCTCCCCGTTTCTTTCACCTTCCTCAAGGTCACAAAATCAACAATAACATGCCACCCTTAATCCATATATCCAGCACCTTAACAACACGAGAACTACCCAACAATACAATATAACAACAACAATAGGGCCAACATTAAGCTTAGGAATAACTAGCTTACGATACATTGAGCAACAAGCTCGATCCTTAACTAGCAACAAACCAGTAATTTACACTTCTTCTTCTCTTCAAGTTACNATATATATATATATATATAAAATCTCCCAAAATCAAGTCACAACAATATCATAAAAATACCTCAAAGCAGTCCAACATGGTATCACAACTTATATATGTCTTTTGACCGTCAACTCATAAATTCTAGATTCAAACAACATAGCTAGGGCTTAGATATGATCAAAATCATGTAAGAGAATAAGAGCATACATTTAAGTAGCAATAAAAACTCCAAGAACAACTCTCCTTAAACTTGAAAGAACTCACAGCACATCAACAACATCTACGACACTTTTAATGAAGAACATAGGTGGTTTGGCCTTTGATTTGTGTATGAATATTTAGGATATTAATAGAGAGAGTTTAGAGGTGCTCGGAGGTCTGACTTGGTCGAAAATTAGATTTAGAGACGAAAGCTCTCACTTTATATAACAAGGTAAGCTTCCACAAGGTAGTTACTTGTGCAGTCTTGCAAAAACGCAAATATCTCTCTATTCTGACGTCGTATTGACGAACGGTTGAATGTAATGGAATTAGACTCATAAATATTCAATTTTATGGGTGTATCTCCCCGAAACACAAAGTATATTTATAGAAAATCTCAGTGACATTAGACCCAAATTTAGGTCAAATTATAAATGTAACTTGCGTCAACTTTTGCCGTATTTTGTTTTACAACTTTTTTGACTTAAAAACTAAACATATGAATATTATATGATTCAATTAACTTAAAACATGACCTCCTTAGGATATTAAACACTCCTAGTTTACCCTGAAAGTATGGGTTATAACATCTTTGATTCGGTTAACCTTCAACCCTCACAATACTTCCTTAACGCTTGTTTTTACCCATCATTATCTTTGTAATGGTCCTTAAGCTCTTAGGCTTACGTTGATTCACTTAAGATGCACTGTAGCATGAAATTATGGGGTGTTACAGTTTATACCCTTCCTTGGATAGTTATCTGTATTATTATATTTGAGATATCATGTTCTCCTTATCTTATTGAGTATTTTATTAGAATTTTACTAATTTACTTTAGATTTATGATTGTTATTGTGTTGGCTTACCAAGTGAGCTTGTTAGGTGCCATCACAACCTTTGGTGGTATTTAGGGTTGTGAGAAGTTGGTATCAGAGCACTAGGTTAATAACAAGCAGGCCAAGTAGGGTCTTGAGGATCAGTACAGTGATGTAGGTACTTATCTTCGAGAGGCTATAGGGCTTTAGGAAACTTCCTTTTATTGAATTCCTCATCGTGCATTAATTATTGACTTGAATCAAAATCCTTCTATTCAATTCTCTCACAAACGGTCAGGACTCGCGCGTGTGGAGCACTAAAGGATGCATGAGCATTACACCGGTCACGACCGAGAAAGGCCCAGGCTGGGGTAGGGCCATGGCCCATGCTAGAGGTTGTACTACAACAACTAGGGGTGGGAAATCCAGCCGGGTCTATGGCTAAGCAAGGCCAATTTCAGCGGACCACCCTATGAAGTAGGTGGATGAGCAGATCATACTGAGGCTCCAGAGCACACTGAGCAACCAAAGGATTTCATTGTTGCTCCCGTGTTCTAGGAGGCTTTGGCCAAGATGGTCAAGTTTTATTAATGCATTGACCCAGGTCGAGGTGGTGCTAGTGTCTCTGGTCACGTCTCCAGTAGCAGGGGGAGCTTAGACCCATGTGGCTCATACTCCAAAGCAGCTTATTGTAGCAGCTAGATCTGAGATCGTACTTGCCATGTATGTTCATGAGTAGAATAGGTTAGAGAGGTTCTAAAGACAGTTTCCTCTAGAATTTTAGGGCAGTGCATCGGAGGATGCCATAGACATTCTAGATAGGTGCCATCAGATGTTATGAAATTTGGGCTTGCTAGAGTCAAACAGTGTTGACTTCACGACATTCCAGTCCAAGGGATCAACTAGGAGATGGTGGCAGACATATGAGGTGGGCAGGCCAGCTAGTTCAGCTCCTCTTACATGGGCTCAGTTTAAACATATATTCCTTGAGAGGTAAATTTCCCTCACCACGAAGGAGGAGTTGAGGGGTTAGTTCGAGCATCTTTAGCATAGTCATATATCAGTGACTGAGTGTGAGGAAAGATTCACTAAATTGTCTCGTCGTGTAGCTTTCCTGATCCCCGCCAAGGCAGGAAAGACAAAGAGGTTTATTTAGGGCTTGACTTATGGAATTAGGGTTACTATGGCTCATGAGTCTGAGATGGGGACTAAATTCTAGCAGATAGTAGAGATATAACGGAGGATCGAGCGTGTTCGTAGCCAAGGTAAAGAGGTCTTGATAAGGGAAAATATGCCTCATTGTTTTGGTGGTTTTAGTGGTACCTCATATGGAGGTAGAGGACAAATTAGTAGGGCCCCTACTAGCATGCTAATTCAGTATGTGTAGCATAGGCCCCGCAATGCGATGTCTAAGTCATCTTTCAATTCTCCATTTCCATCATCCTTCAGTGCTCTTCCATAATGCTCATATTATTCTCTGTAGATGAAGGGTTCCTCTAGTGAGTATTCTGTTCTTCAGGGATAATATCAGTCCCATCAGCCTTATTCAGCTTGGGGGTGCTAAGAGTGTGGAGAGATTGGTCACGTGAAGAAGTATTTCCCCAGACTTATCAAAGGCGTAGCTTATTATGATTCTCTGTCCATAGGTCCGTCTCTAATTGAATCGCCCCCTACTCTGACAGCTAGTGGGGGAGTCATGTAGCAAAAGGACGCCCTAGAGAGACAGGTCAGGTTTGTGCTAGTCAAGCTAGTGGCGGCTAGCCCTATTGTTATGCTTTTTCGGGGAGACTAGAGGCGATGGCCTCCAATGTTGTGATCATAAGTATGGTTTTGGTCTACCATAGAGATGCGTCTATGCTGCTTGATTTCGGATCTATTTATTCTTATGTTTCATCATACTTTGCAACATATTTGGATATGCCTCATGGTTCTCTCGATACTAATGTGCATGTATCTACATATGTTGGTGATTTTATTGCGGTGGATTGTGTGTTTCGATCTTGTGTGGTCACTACTGGTTAGTGTGAGAATAGTGTGTATCTTCTATTGCTTATTATGGTGGGCTTTGATGTGATTTTGGGTATGTATTATTTATCCTCGTCCCATGCTATCCTTGATTTCCACGCTCAGACCATGATGTTTGGCTATACAGGGTTGGTGAGGCTGGAGTAGAGTGGTTCTCTTGGTCACACTCCTAGTAGGTTGATTTCATATTTGAGAGCTCCGTGGATGGTTGCGAAGGAATGTCTGAAATATTTGGATTTTGTTATGTTAGTGCAGATACTCCTTGTGTGGATTCAGTTCCAATTAGTGAGGGATTTTCTAGATGTGTTTTCTACAGACCTACCAGGCAGGCATGGCACCTGATAGGGATATTGATTCTGGTATTATTTTGGTGGCAAGCATGCAACCTATCTCTATTCCTCTGTATCGCTTGGGTCCAGCGTAGTTAAAACATTTGAAAGAACAATTGCAAGAGTTGCTTGATATGGGGTTCATCAGGCCTAGTGTTTCACCTTGGGGTGCACCGGTATTGTTTGTAAAGAATAAGGATAGGTCTATGAGGATGTGTATTGACTATAGGCAGTTGAACAAGGTTACTATCAAGAACAAATACCTATTTTCGTGCATTAATGATTTGTTCGATTATCTTCTGGGTTCCAGGGTGATCTCGAAGATTGATTTGACACATGGGTGTCTCTAGTTGAAAATTATGGCATTGAACATCCTTAAGACTGTCTTCCCGACTCGTTATGGGCATTATGAGTTTTTGTTGATGTCGATTGGTTTGACTAGTACCCCAGCATCCTTTATGCATTTGATGAACAATGTATTTCAGCCTTATTTGGATTCTTTTTTCATCGTGTTCATTGATGATATCTTGGTGTATTCCCGTAGCACTAAGAAGCACGGGCAACATTTGAGGATTGTGCTTTCGATTTTGAGCGAGAAGAAGTTGTATGCTAAGTTCTCCAAGTGGGAGTTTTGCTTTGACTTGGTGGCCTTCTTGGGTCATGTGGTATATAGAGATGAGATCAAGGTGGACCTGAAGAAGATTGAGGCGGTTCAGAATTGGCCCCGACCTTCTACCACTACAGAGATGAGAAGCTTCTTTGGTTTGCCTGGTTACTATAGTTGCTTCGTTGAGGGATTCCCATTTAATGAAACCTGATTGACTAATTGACTCAAAAGGGTGTGATGTTTAGGTGATCAGATGAGTGTGAGGGGAGCTTTGGAAGCTCAAGACTTCTTTGACTACTGCTCTGGTTTTGGTTTTGCTTTCCGGATCAGGGTCGTATATAGTGTATTGTGATGCTTCGGGGGTTGGAATTGGGTGTTTGTTGATGCAAAATAATAGGATGATTGCCAACGCGTCACTGATGCCCCATGAGAAGAACTATCTAGTGCATGATTTGGAGTTAGCAGCTATTGTGCACTAACTCAAGATTTGGAGGCACTATCTGTATAGCATGTCCTATGAGGTGTATATCGATCATAGGAGTCTACAACATTTGTTTCAAAAGTAATATATAAATTTGAGCCAGCAGAGATGGTTGGAGCTGTTGAAGGATTAAAATATCACCATTCTTTATCATTCAAGGAAGGCCAATGTGTTAGTGGATGCCTTGAGAAGAAAGACAAAGAGTATGAGGAGTTTAGAATTTATTCCAGCTGAGGAGAGGCCTTTAGCTATGGATGTTCAGGCATTGGCCAACAAGTTGGCAGGATTGGATATTTCAGATTCGAGTAAATTCCTTTCTTGTGTGTGTTCATGGTCATCATTGTTTGAGCGCATCAAGGCTCGCATGTATGAAGATCCCCATTTAGTTGTCCTAAAGGATACGGTGCAGCACGGTGGTGCTAAGGAGGTGAATGTTGATGGCTTGAGAGAGTTGATACTTGAGGAGGCTCATAGTTCGTGGTATGCTATTCATCTAGGTGCTACGATGATGTACCATGATTTGAAGAAGCATTACTGGTGGAGGAGGATAAATAAGTACATTGTGGGGCATGTTGCACACTGTTTGAACTATCAACAAGTCATGTATGAGCATCAGAGGCTAGGTGGTTCTCTTTAGAGGCTAGAGATACCAGAGTGGAAGCAGGAGTACATCACTATAGACATTGTGGTAGGTTGTCACGGACCTTGAGTATATTCGATGCAGTTTAGGTCATTTAGGACAGACTGACCAAGTATGCGCATGTCATTCTAGTCATGAATTCCTACAGTTTGGAGTTGTTGGCTAAGATCTGTATCCGGGAGATTGACCGTTTGCAATGGTGTGTCAATGTCTATCATCTCGGATCATGGCACTCAGTTTACTTCACATTTTTGGAGAGCTATTCTGTGTGAGTTGGGACGTAGATTGAGTTGAGTACTGTATTTCACTCTTAGATGGACGGACAGTCTGAGTGAACCATTCAGAAAGTCAACTCTAGTAGATATAGTAGAAGAGACTTTGCACATTTTGGGAGTAACAAATCATCCTAGATATTGATGTATATTGCAAGTGAACTTGTCCATCAACTTTAAAATAAAGCATATGAAACAACAACAAAATGACTACCATTAATCCATTGTCAATTGTACAATCCGTAGGTCACAATATGTGCACAAACAGACTATCTAACTGCGCTAATAGCTTTGTTCATTGATAATCTTCCAATAGAAATGGTTATTGGTATGACTATGCTCATTACGTATTTTTTATGTGAATGCACGAGTTTGGAAGAAAATTTATCAAAAGAAGGTAATTTAGAGCCAAACAACGTGTGGGGAAACAAGAAAGAAAAGTTGAAGGTTGCTCGTTTAGGGGTCATGCATCGGGGGAGAGTTGAACGAGCCAGGGGATTGGATTTGTCCAAATAAGTACACAAAGGACCATCATTTGAGCCAACACATGATCAAGAAGAGAAAAAAAACACCATGGAGCTCGTTTATGGGGCGTGCGACGCTAGGATGCTGGACATGCTCCCGGTGATTCCCAACTGAAATTGGATTGGATTGGACTGGTTCCTAAGCACCTTAGGTCATATAAATTCTACATGAAACTTGTTTTGAAGGAGGGTTACACATATTTGGAGGCAAAATACGTGCAAGGAGAAGAAGAGCATAGATTCAGTAACGAATTCATTTATTTCTTCGATTTTTTCTTGTTCGTTTGTGAATTTTAGCTATTGTTGTGAAAACCACGTTATGAGTGGCTGCATACATTAATTCTGGTGTTATGGTTGTTAACGACCAATTTTGTCCCACCCTTTGAAAATTAATTTATTTATACTTAAATATTTATAATGAATATTTTGAAAGTATTTTTCTATCAATAAATACCTATTTTTTGACAAATTAATTAAGTATTGATTTTGAAATTAATAACCTAGAATTAATATTATGTAATTACAAATATACTACTATTAAGATATTTTTAAAATACACCATAGAGGTTTTATGATTAATTTACGAATTACTTCTCAAATTTTGATTTAGATTACTATATTGATAATTCAAAATTAGTGTTGTAATTTAGAAAACAAAGTATTTTATAAATAAATAATTACAATAGTTAGTAGTGTATTTGATAATTATAATTTTACAACATTTTATTGGAAATTTATTAAGTTTAACTAAATGGGTTAAAAAACTAAAAGGCTACAATTGCAATTCCTCAATTAAATATAAAGTGGCTATTCCCTAAATCAATTCTAGCCCAATACACAAGCCCATATCTGAAAATGACCAAGTCCAAACACCCCTCTCTCCACTTTGGCAATATGTGCCATTCCATTAAACCAATAATCCAACGGCCCAAATCTCCCCCACACCCCCAACTTCTACCCATAGACCGTCTGGTCTCATCTCCCAACCCTAATCCATTTGTCACTCTGCCCAGTCGCCTCTCTTTCCCCTTTCTCTCTCTTTTCTCTCAACCTCACAGCCCAAATCAATCACTAGACCTTGCACAAAATTCGTGCAAGGTCATGAATTTACCTAGAGAATCATCCTCTTTGCCTTCTCTATCCGTGATTCTCGCTGAATCTTTCCTCTCCCATCATCAAAAATTCAAATCTCCTACATCTGAACCCTAACCCCCAAAGATGAAACCTCAAATTGCCATTGACCTTTCAAATCCATGGTATGCATGGTTATCCGCTTTGCTCCTGTATTTCAGATCTCGTTGCTCTTTCTGTTTTCACCATTTGATTTCAAAAAGCCCTAATCGAAAAGTCAGACCAAAAGGTGAAACCTCAGCTCTCCATATTTCTTCCTTTGTCCTTTCAAATTGAATCAAGTTGAGAGGCTAGTTGGCTTCATCATTGATATTTAACACCTAGAGGCTAAATGCATTGACTTCTGGGTATTAGGGTTCTGACCGATAGCCTCTCATATTTCAACGGTCGGTCTCAGTTTCCCCTGCTCAGGTAAAATCACTACTGATTTTTCTCTGTCTCTACTATCGATTTGAATCTAGAACCCTGATATTTCACAACCACTATAAATAGGGACTTTTAATGTTCTTACCTAACAGATCCTATTATCTTTAACACACCTAACACAGAGAAAAGACACAACAAAGATATCACGAAATTACTTAGCAAATATTAGTCTTGGGTAGTAAAGAATCAAGCTAGGGTTCTAACTAGCTTCTAATTTCTCCCTGATTCTAAATCTTACACTGGTCAGGGTGAGTTCTTGATTCTATACGGCTATGAAAGAGTCTTTTGTTTGGTTTGCTTCTTAAAAGGAGGTCAGTACACCTTCATCCTTTCTCTCTTAATTGTTCATCTGAAAGTCATAAACGTGGTATTGTTGTCTTGTTAACTGTTTCATCTATAATGATTGTTATTAGTCTGTAATTGTTTATTTTTGTTCACCATGACTTGTTAATGATTTGAGATAGGTTGTTGTATTTATTTAATATTGATTAAGTAGCTATGTGACTTTAATGACTTCAATCTCTATATTGAATATGCTATGTGATTAAGCTGCTTAACCCGCCTTAATGATTTCTCATATCTCCTAAACTTCATACTTTCCTCTAATGTTCTGTTGCAATCTTCATGCCTATCATGTTGTATACTTTGAGTTCTGTTACTCTATACTTAGGGTTGCTGTTATAGTCTTCATGTTTATCATGCTACATTCTTTTGAGTTATATAAATGTATACTTAGATTGTTGTTAGATGATTCTTGCTAGAACATACATGAAAATACATAGGGTGACTCCGCATCACTTGGCTAAGGCTTGTGAAACCTGAGTATTCAAAATGCTTTCATATCTTTACACAAATTCTTGTTAATCCTTAAGTATCCTTTGAGTCCTCACTATGAATGCTTTACATCCATGTCTAATTGTTAGTTGTAAGCCGTCCTACTAGGATGAACTTTATGTGCACATCAGTGATATTTGTTATGATTAGCCTATCTTTTATGAGTTAGGGTGTAGTTGTGCATGTTGTGGTTGAATGCTAACTGTTTTCTGTAACTTGAATACAACTCCACATGCCTAGTTAACAACCTTAGACTGTACAACTCAGTTAAGTCTGCTTAGTAGGATGTTTCCCCAGTTCTTAACCATAAATAATGCTGATAATATGATTCTGTAATGTTTGAGACTCATCCTATCTTGTGAGGTCATAATTTTGATTGAAGTCTCTATATGTATGGAAGTTTGGAATGACTTTTTATTTATCCCTCATGACTTCATTTTGGATACTATTTTTGAAATGATACTCAGTCCTCCCTTTCCCATGTCTTCTCAATTGAATCCGGTATAGGAGAAACCTTCTATTGTTACTAATTGAGTACAATAACTTGCCTATGTTATTGTCTGAATCTTTGCTGAGGATCTCAAAGGATTCAAGTCGTGTTATTGACATGTGTGTAAGCTCATGATAATGTTAGGCATTAAACTAATATGTATGTTGAGGTAATAGCATATCCCAAAGCTATTGCAACTCTAAACTATGTGCTATTCATGTTTGATTCCAATTGTATGTTTCTTTAGAAAATATAGTATGGTGTTCCTGCCTATGTGCATATTTGGAATTAGAGCTTCATGTCTGTCTAGAATGTTAATCAATCACCTAGAGCTAAAAAATTTGTTATAAGAAATAGGGGACTGTTTCTATGGTTTTTCCTGTGTTATTCTGTTAAGAAAAAGTATGCTTATG